TGACACCGTGAGAGAGAGAGAGAGAGAGATCGAAAAATAATAAATAAAGGTAGAAAATTAACGAAAGAGAGGGAGGGGGAGTCAACGGCGATGGCGGCGGTGGTGAACGAAACATAGAGTGAGAGAGGCGGACGGTGGTGGTGGGCATATCTGAAAAAAAAAAAAAAAAAACTGAGAAATCGAGAAAGATAACAAAAAAGAGATAGAGAAGCCTTACGTGAAAACGAAGGAGGCGGCGGCGGCACAAGCGACGACGGTGGTTTTCTACTAGAAACCAAACACTATAACCACTGCTTGAAAGATAATTATACATTTTTTGAAATTGGAAAACGCTGACCACAAAGCTAAAATGTGTATTCATATTGGAATCTAATCATTTCGGAAGAAGTGCTTACCATAAGTTCTTCTTAATTAAATTCTTGTCAATGCAGTCTTCAGGGATTGCGGATCCATTTGCATTAACTGATAATCGTGTCAGCTTTCTCCTGTAAAAATCAGAGCAAAAGGGATGAAGTATACGTCCACAGTCCATTTCAATGACAAGGCTTATCAAGGGATGCTTTGAACCAATGAAATTAATTGTTTCAGCTTGATAAAATTTCATTTGTGTAAAGCTGAGATATTACCGAAGATATCATTTTGTACATGTCCTTTGCATGTCAATGCGAGTACAAAAGGTGCAAAAATAAATCCCACAATGGTGGTATGCAAATCTAGACGATGGTGGTGTAAAGAGAGAAATCGAGAGAGAACGAGATTATTTATGTGGAGACGAAGGAGGAAGCGACGACGGCGGTGGTGTCTGCGGTGGCGGCGGAGGCGGCGGTGGTGGCGGTGGCGGCGGTGGATGAAGCTTGAAATTTTAGGAGTGTTTTGAGAGATTTAGGTGGAGAGGTGGAGAAGAGAGAAGATGAAAGTGGTAGGTGAGCAAATAATTAGGGTTATAGTAGTTGAGGGTACTTTTGTCTTCTCATACTAGTTTAGGGGGGTCTCACTAATTAAGAGTGAAATTTGGGTGTAGGCAAAAGTCTTTACAAGTCAATTGAGTTTAGTTCAAAATATTTTCCATTTGAGGGGTCTATTGCATATTTCCCCTAAGTATATACTCTTTAGGGGCAATTTTCTAAACCTCCTTGAGCTGGGAAAATCATCATTTATTAAAATTTAAAAAAAGAATTTTTCATTCGTATATTATTCGTGGATGTTCGTTCGAACCTCATTTCCACCGGCTTGAAGGGATGTAATTTCTTCTTCGTTGAACTTTGCCATCGATACCGACTTCACTCGATGAGTAAATTCCCGACTGTAAATTTTCAAGAAAATTAATTAATATTATTTGTTGTTCTTAACTAATATTCATGTACCAAATACAAGTATATATTATTATTATTTATTTAATTTTAATGACAATATATAACTTACTGAACTCCACTGCAATTTGTACAGACAAATGTCCAGAAAGTTGTGCAGACATATTGAGGCCCCTGGTTCCAAAAATAAAATAAAATAAATGAAAATGAAAATCAGCAGAAATATATTAAATACAATAATTTCATGGAAAAAGAAGTATAAATTAAATATATCTCAATATAATTCATTAATTATATATCGTTTCCGAAATATTCAAGAAAACGAAAATGGCTAGAAAGAAGAGTGCGAATAAATCATCATACCAGACTATTGCAGTTGATGCATCGCCTATTATCCGTCTGCTTCAAAAGATCACGAATAATCATTTCGATTTCTCCTCTTCCTTCACACGCCGAGGCATTTTCTTTTTTTCTTTATTGGCCCAATTTATTTTGAATTATGCCTATAAAACAAACAAACTATAAAAGTTAATAAGGTAACTAATTTCAAGCATTCATGTTTTCAATGCCATAACATTCTAAAACTATAATTAATTATCGATAAAAAAAAAATTAATTAAATATTTTAAACATCGAACAATGTTTGGTGCTCAAAGAAAAATTCAGCAAATTGATAATTAACATAATTTTTTTATTAAAAAAAATCTCGATTATATATAGGTACAGAGAATGATGCTCATTCGACATATATACGTTGTAAGAGGCGAACAAATTGGCGATGTGGGACGAATTCAAAATTTCTCGTTCCAATCCAAGTTATAACATTCTCTAATGTTGTTAATCGAAAAAAAATCCCTGAAACGAAAGAGTCACGAAAAGCTCACCTTATACGTTTGCAGATTAATGGAAATCTTTTTTTTTTTTCCCAGCTCAAAACAACTTATCTTTTTTTTTTTTCCCAGCTTAAATCTTTGAATGTTAGCTATACTTGAGCTCTTCACAACACCAAAATTTCACACACACACACACACTTCACTTAACAAAAACACACTCCCATTAATCAAATCTTGAAAAACTAAACCTCATTCCTCACTCCACAAACCCCCCCAAAAAAGAGTACAAACAAAATTACTCAATGAAGAAAGAAATGCACCACTCTCATGCCTCAAAAACCTTGTTGTTATCCACCACCTTCCTCCTCCTCCTCCTCAACACCGCCACCGCCACCGCCACCGCCGCCGACCAACCGCCACCCATCTCCTCCCACAGACACCTCCTGTCCTACAACGGAGACCCCCTAGCAGCGGACCCCGTCCTCGACTTCGAAAACCCACGCCTAAAAAGCGCCTACATTGCCCTCCAAGCATGGAAAGATTCCATCCTCTCCGACCCCAACAACATCACCGCCACCTGGACGGGCCCCGACGTGTGCAACTACACCGGAATATTCTGCTGGCAGGCCCCCGACAACCCGTGCGAACGCACAGTCGCCGGAATCGACATCAACGGCCGCGGCATGGCCGGACACATCCCCCACGAGGTGGGCCTCCTCTTCGACCTAACCCTATTCCACGCCAGCTCCAACCGCTTCTGTGGGACTCTCCCACAAAGCTTCACAAACTTGAAACTCCTATTCGAGCTCGACCTAAGCAACAATCGCTTCGTCGGGAAGTTTCCGGAACCTATCCTCCAATTGGCCAGCCTCAAGTACCTCGATATCCGTTTCAACGAATTCGAGGGTGAACTCCCCAGTCAACTCTTCGAGAGAAGCTTTGACGCTCTTTTTTTAAACGACAATTCTTTCTCTTCGAAACTACCCGAAACTTTCGGAAATTCGCCCGCTTCGGTTATTGTTATGGCGAATAACAAACTCGAAGGGTGTGTTCCTCCAAGTATGGGCAATATGGTCAATTTAAACCAATTGGTGCTAGCGAACAACCAATTTTCGTCTTGTTTTCCAAGCGAAATCGGGAAATTGAAGAATTTAACGGTTCTTGATTTGAGCAATAATCAAATTGTGGGCCCGTTGCCTAATAGCATCGGGGATATGGAGAGCTTGGAGCAGCTGGGCATAGGGAATAACATGATGTCGGAGAATATCCCGGCGAGTATATGCCAACTCCCTAAACTGGCGGGGTTCGGGTTCGGTGGCAACTACTTCTCCGAGGAGTCTCCGGTGTGTCTGAACTTGCTGAAATTTGACGATAAAATTAATTGCTTTAGAGGGAGGCCGGAGCAAAGAACCACTTTGGAGTGTCAAAGGTTCTTGGCTCGAAAGATTAACTGCAGCAGTTTCGGTTGTCCGGCCTTTTCACCCCCAACCGCACCACCCTCTGTTTCGTCACCCCCACCGGGGAGTCCTTATCCCCTGCCTGCACCTCCACCGTCAAACCCTACACGACCACCGTGCACGTGCGTACAGCCACCTCCAACAAATTAAATGCAAGTTGAGAATTTTCCGGAACAAATTAAATGCTGCCACGCACCGGTTCTTCGGCTCCTTTTTTTTCCCCCTGCTTGACAAGTGAAATATGGCAGATTTTATTTATAGATGGTTGAAATGAAAAAAAGGTCACTCAATGTAAGAAAGGGAATCTTCCGAACTTTGTTATGAATAAAAAATTCTATATTTTTGCCTGCAAAATGAATCATATTTCAGGGTCGTTATCGTCTTTTATATGTGTAGCATCACTTTATATGTTCTAGCAAATGCTTATATGCCTCACTTAATATGCCAACTTATTCAACATGAGTCAAATTAATGGATGCTAGTATCTGCTAGAGTATCAAAATAATGATAACTATTAACAGGGTCATAATGGTAAATATGCAAACATAGAAGTAAACTTCGCTGAAAGAAGTATGTCACCAAATTTTATAAGAAAATTTTCAACAAGCTTCATAGTGATATTGCAGTAAGAAAACAACTTACCATAGGTTATAATAACTAAATAAAAACAATATACGTACCTCCACACGAGAAAAAAATTCGGCAAAATTCATTTAAGGATCCTATAATTCTGCTGATCAATTGAAGACAATGGCTGCAGTAATCCACTATTCGACAAATCCTCCAAGCTTTTAATATCTTGTTCTAATCGTGTGATGTGCGAAATCGCTGTTCAAGAACAAGAGGATCTTCCGGAAGATTCTGGAGTAAATTAACCAATGTCTGCCTATACACTTGAGCAGACAACAAAGGCCTTGCTATCTGACGACTTCTGCAGAAAATAGCAACCTTAATTACGTGCTTGCACATGTTGCCGACCATTGACCAAGAACAATCACACAGAGCGAATTCTGAACCAGGGTTCCATATTGTGTAGGCCACGCTATTATCTGCTTGAGACACGACTTTTGCCAGCTGGAGGTTTTCCTCGTCCAATAAGACGTCAATGTCGGGGATGTGTGTGGCTTGATTCCATGGGTTGGTAATGCTGAACCTGTCTCTTAAATTTTCGAAATATCCCGTTTCGACTGTGTATTGCTCGAACCAATAGAATGAGTGGAATTGGGAGGTCAGTGCGTGTATCAAAAAGTCAACTCTTTGATCGGAATCTTGTGATAGAACCTTGGACTTCAGTCTTAGGTGGTAGGATTCGATTGAAGCAATAGTTTCTTGAGGTGCAACCGGGAGAGTTCTGACGCAGTTGACCCATAATTCTGTTGGACAAAATTTATCGTATTATTGAATATTTTACAAATATGTCGCAACTTGGGGTTGGAATCAGACTGATCGGATCGGAATAAGCATTTTTGGAAAAAATCCAATTTTTTTTTGGAAGTGAAAAACTAATTCCAATTATGTTCCGGAAAACTTCAGATAAATCATAAATTACAATGTCAGAAATTGATACTATACGTGTAATTTTCAGAAATATTTTCAGAAATAAATCGGATAGGAAATTGGAATAAAATATGAATTTGTATTCCTTAACAAAAAAAAAAGAGAGAAAGAAAAGAAAAGGAAAAACCCGGGAAAAATCAGAATTCGGAATGTAAACTATTGTTCAAAAATCGGAAATATTTGAATAGGAATGGAATTTGGAAATCACGTTCCAATTTTCCACCCCTAGTCCCAACACATAACCACAATTCAACAAGCATGGGATGAATTTTACCTATTTTCGACAACCATTTACTTCTGAAGTATTCTATAAATGCATACTGGTCGACAAATATTTGCACAAACTCCTCAACAGCATCTGCAACACTCGAACCATTTCTCGTGCAGTACAAAATCCTTCCTAACTGCTTAAACATCTCTCTTTGCACATCGAAATTGTTGCAATATTTCAATAAACCTTTGAGCCAACCACGACGAACATGCCACAGGCATAACAGAACCCGACACTGGAAGGCCTCTCTGAGAGGACCAAACAACACAAATTACTAAAAGATATTTGCCTTTTAATTTACAATTATTTTGGGACCATATAAAGATCGAGATTTTAAGGTTTACCGAAGAATTGAAGCCTCGAAAGAGGGATCATCCACTAGAACTGCATTAGGTCTCCATCTTGTGTCCTTGCCTCGTATTCTTTCAACAAGAGACGGTATCCATTTGTGAATATTTTGACCAATGGAAGAGGAAGAAATGATCCAAGCAACTGGTATTGCATTTTGTGACGAGTCAAATGCGAGCAACGAGCACAACGTATGCTGTACAAGTCAAACGGAGAAGGAAAATAATCAAAACACAATTATGAAGCCCGTAGATAATTCCCAAAAATTTAACTATCAACTAATATGGCACCAAATAGATGCAACTATGGCTTTATATTCTTAGGCCTCGTTGGTTGGTGCGATAGGCCATGATTAATTAAATAATTGGACCTTATTGGACATTTGGTTAGTCCAATAACTACTAGGCACTAGTACAGGCCTAGCACCCGCCCACGGCTGCCTGCCGTCTCGGCACCCCTTTTCCTTTTTT